ATCACAGCTCACAGCAACCTCCAACTCCTGGGCCAAGTGAGTCTCCTGCCTCAGCCTCCCAAGTAGCTGGGACCACAGGCACCTGCCACAATGCCCGGCTATTTTTTGTTTGGCGGGCCGAGCTGGATTCGAACCCACCATCTTAGGTGTATGTGGCTAGCACCTTAGCCACTTGAGCCACAGGCACCAAGCCAGTGACCCCTTTTCTTAGTGATTTTGTAGGATTTGTTATTCTGAATGTTAATCCTTTGATTTTTTTTTTTTTTTAAAGAAATGCAATCTTGCTATGTTGACCAGGCTGGACTCCAACTCCTGGGCTCAAATGATCCTTAGCTCAGTGTCCCAGTAGTTGGTACTACGGGCATGCACTACAGCACCTAGCTCTTTGATATTTTATGTGGTACCAGTATGTTCTTCCATTACATATCATGTCTTCTCATTTTGTGGTGGCTTTTAATGAAAAAAAGTTTTTAGTTTCAGTATAGCTAAATATGTCTAACTTTAGGAATGATGTTTTTTATGACTTGGGAAGTTTTTCCCAAAGCCTAGGACATAAAAATCGTTTCCTTTATTACCTTCTATATAACTACAAAACTAAACCCAGAAGTCTGATAATCGTGCCTTATATATATTTGGTCTAAAATTCACTGGAGTTGACTTTTACATATGATATCAGTCTAATCAGACTGTTACATAGCGTAGCAGTGTAATTTCATTTGTTCCTGTATGGACCCACCACCATCCCACTGCATTTATTGAAAAGACTGTCTTTTTCCCCTCACATTGTGCAAGACCAGCCACTAGCTCTTAACACCTTTATCTTTTTCTTATAAGAGTAGTAGACTAAATCATGGTTCCTGATCTAGAAAGTTTTGTTAATAAAATCCAGATTTCTAAGGCTCATTACAGACTAGGGGAAAGAGATTGGAAGATAGGGAAGAGGATCATATCAGCACTCTGGATTTGTAAGTTCCTTGTCTAATGTGTATGCAGCCAACCTGGCTCCTGTCAACAGATGGGCACTGTGGGAAAGCTCTGGCAATGCTCTCCATAGTGACCCCCAGCTTTAAGATCCTTTTCTTTTAAAGGTCTCTGGGCTACCTGTTTCTTCCATACCAATGGAAACAAAGATGTACAGAAGTCACATTGCAAAGAAATACAATGTCATCTCAAATTCCACAAACTACATGATTTTATTTATAAAATTGCTTATTATAGTCCATGTCCATTAAACAGTCCTCAGTTACAATTCTCATTTTTTAAAATAAAGATCTATGAAGTGTACTCAGAAAAGTAGTACTAAATATTTTGTTAAGTTGATATCCCATGGGCACTGACAGTTAATACTATGGAAAAGGGGTTAATATAAAATAATACAAAAGTATTATAGACAATAGCTTATTAATATTTTCTTCATTCCATGGGTGGGATTTCCTCAGGTAGTAACCTTGGTTCTTGAAATGATTTCATTTACAAAACTATTATTCTTTGCTATCACCTCAGCTTTCAGCTGTTTTAACTTTATAGTGATGTTTTCTTCCGACATTTCAGTAAAGGGCACTTGTTTCACCTTGGACAGAAACTCCTGAATAATTTTTTCACCTTGCTGAAAAACATGTAAATGTTCCATTAGTTATTAAAATATCTTTTCCAAAAATCACATTCAACAGCAATGAATTGTTTCATTTCCATCTAAACATATCACTCAATATTTAAAAAACAACTTCATTTTGTGTAAGTATACACTATCTGGAACATAACAGCAAAAGCCCTTAGTGGACCATATTTCTTCAGAGCAAGTTATCAGAAGGACATTTATAAATCTATTTTCAGTTGCTAATGACAAAGGAACTAAAATTTTAGTAGTTCCCAAATCCCTCCATTTTTATAACTGATACATAAACTTGATCCTGTTAGGGAAAAAGAACTCAAGGCTTACAAAGAATACTACAAGACATAAACAGTCACTGAAAATTTAACACACACACACACACACACACACACACAGAGCTTCCCTTTTATTTTACTGCCCAGTTATTGCCACTCCAAAGAGCGTGGCATGTTACTTGCTATGTAACCCTTGGACAAATTCCTTAACCCACATTCCCCATCCATAACACGGGGATGTTATCACCAACCTTACAGGGCTCAAAATAATTATAATTAATATTATCAAAGGTATGTGACTTCTGTTCTAATAAGAAACCAGGGATTATATGAAAGAGCCTGCCTAATCCCAGATCACTGAGAGCTCTGATTTTGACACATTAAGTGACTAACATGAAGCCTACTTCGTATTCAGGATGACAAGATTCCATACCTAAAATTTAAAAATTATGATATTTTTCTCCTTTTTTATCTGGTACAACAGATAAAACTATAAAAAAAATTCACTGGAAACTGCTAAAACCCTGATGAGTAAAAAGATGTCACAATGTATGGTGAATTTTGCCAGAACGAGGCAATGAATTAAAATTCTTTTATTTTCACTATTAAAGAGAACTAGTAAGCCTTTAATTTAAAAAAAAAAAGTAGGCACTCTGTGTGAATGTCAAAATTTGACCCATTACTCAGAGAAAGCTGAATATAAGACCTACTTCTCCTATGAGAACTGAAATAATCCGTCAACAAACAGCTTTTCTGAATGAACATCTGTCATATACCACTCTTCTCTCTGTATTACATTTATTATTCTCTCTCCAACTACATTCTAACCTACTGGAGGGCAAAAAATATGACTCATGTTTTTAAAATTTCTTTGTCATTATCTTACCTAAGTAAATATATAATTTAATAGGATTCAATATATTTCTTACAAAGATGGGTCTCTATAGTTTTTTTTTTTTTTTTGAGACGGAGTCTCATTGTGTTGCCCTGGGTAGAGTGCCATGATGTCACAACTCACAGCAACCTCAAACCCTTGGGCGTAAGTGATTCTCTTGCCTCAGTCTTCCAAGTAGCTGGGGTTATAGGCACCCGCCACAACGCCCGGATATTTTTGTAGTTGTTGTTATAGTTGTCATTGTTGTTTAGCTGGCCCGGGCCAGGCTTGAACCCGCCATGTTCAGTGCATGTGGCTGGCACTATAACCACTGTGCTACGGGTGCCGAGCCTTCTATAGCTCTTTTCATTGACTAATTTGAAACCTGGATTAATGTTCCTTTACTCTTACTTTTTAAATCTGGTACTCAAAATGTTAGCTTTAGATCATGCAGATGTATGTAGTGCAGAAACCAAAAAGAAACATGTATGTATGCTTAGCCATGGAAGGAAATGTAAGTGAAAGCCAGTAAGAAATGATCAAAAAAGTAAACAGAATTACAAAGGGGGAAAAAAAAACACTGATCCACTGTATAACAATCAATAACTACAAAAACAAACTGACAAACCTCTCTTTCCAAATAGCACTTCTTTGCTGCTGGTTCCATTTCATCATATCCTTGTGATCCTCCAATATTCTGAAACTCCTCAAGTTCCAGGGCTTTTTGTTTAGCACATTCTATTACATGTCTAGGGAAATTAGCAAGCTCTGCAACATGAATCCCAAAACTCTGATCACAGACACCTACAAGAAATTGGGGGGAGTGTGAGGAGACTGGGTCAGAAGAGACAACAATTTATATAAATGGAACTTGTACTTTTTACCTCGTCATTAGGAAACTAATTCTGGATTACTTCAAATACATCAGCCAAATGTTTCAGAGCAAGTAAGATAAAGGAATCTTAATTAAGCCTCCAATGAAAAGTGATTATGACTTGGCACACAGTGTTATATTTTATCCTTGACAACTGCAGGAAGAAAAATTAACATAGCAGAGGAAAAGTTTGATAGATAATCCTCAAAGGCCTAGACAAATATCTTAAGTTGAAGGAAAATTAACCAACTGTCTGAGGTTTTCTCATTTCATGAGGGAGAAACTATAGAGTACTAGGAAAAAGAGAAAAATGTGTAAAAGTGATACTAATTAAGAGTGTCATTTAATTCAAAACATACTGATTTATTATCAGTGAATAGTCTATCCTCTGGATCTACCTACAGTCACTACCTAGAGACCGCAACTCAGGAAAATCATCTAAATACATTTTGGAATTTATAATACTTTTCTTAGAAGAGTTACTACCATTTTCACATAATCTCATTCTGATTTCGAACTACACCAAGCAAATGACAATGGAATTCTTGCCCCTACTCACTAGTGAAATGTATAGACTAGGTAGCTTATCTTCATCCCCATTTGCAGGAAGTAAAGTGAGTTGAGGAATTCTTTCTAAGATACAAGTGATGCTTGCAAAATTGTTATAGAGTTTCTGCCTTTGCCTCAATTATCTATCAATTGTAAAGAATTGTTTGGGTCTAGTTATAAACCCCAAGCATGCTGGAGCTTGATACTTTGCACAACTAAGAGAAGCAAACAAAAATAAAGATGAAGCAAATGTTTGAGCCACACTTACAGTGAAGGATGAATTTTTTCTATTTTCAAATTTCATCTGGTCTTTAAAAAACTATTCTCCACCCATTTCTATAGCACACAGATTTAAAAGCAAAACCAAAACTTTATGCTCATTACCAGATTCACTAAAATGATCTGTAGTCTAAAACAATAACGAAAACGGAATAATCAGCTCAGCATTGGGGTGGGCGCCTGTAGTCCCAATTGTTCTGGAGGCTGAGGCAGGAGGATCGCTTGAACTGAGGAGAGTGAGGCTGCTGTGAGCTAGGCTGATGCCACAGCATTCTAACCTGGCAAAGAGTGAGACTCCACCTCAAATAAACAAACAAAAACCAAACAGAAGCAACAACAAAAAATACCCCATAAAGTCTTATAGTATATTAATCTCATCAATTCAAGTAATTTGGGTGCCAGACCTACAAATGACAAACTCTTCTGAAACGATGAAATAACAGATAAGTCATTCCACATGTAATAATTACCAACAATTTAAGGATTCTGGAACTCCCAGCTTGGAATAAACTTTCTAAAACACAATAAATACAATAAAATAATTATAATAATGATTTTATTAAACAGTAACAGGTAGAGCCTTTGAACTTCAAAGCATACTTATGTATCTAATTTGACAAAAAAATATACTGCCAGGGAGGTAGTTAAAAAACCCTGTATGATGATGTTTACAAGTACAAATTATTCTTTCTGTGCCTGCTTCAGATGAGTAGTCCTATATATGAGACACAGAAATACAGATAATGTACCATGTTCTTGCCTACAGACTTTAAATTAAGAGGTAAGTGTGGTCTATAAAAACATCAATGATTCATACTAATGTAGAAGAAATAAAGCAATTACTGATGATTTCAAGGGCAGCAAGTTTCTCATTGTCATATTTTGAATTTACAGTACACCAACAATATATACTCACCTTTCTTTACCTGATAAAGCATAGTTAAGGTCTCTTCAGTGGTTAATGCTGTGACATGTAGATTATTAACAGTTGGTATCTGATTGGCCAAGGCAGTAAGTTCATGAAAATGGGTTGCAAACATGCAAAAAGCACCAATCTTTGTTGCAATGTAATCCGATATAGCCCATGCTAACCCAAATCCATCATAGGTAGAAGTTCCTCTTCCCAATTCATCTATGATTATTAATGAATCTTGGGTTGCAGACCTGGGTACATAATTACATAAAATTTCCCATGACATTAAATGTGGAAGTGGAAATAACAAAATCAAGACAATACACTGGGAAAAGGCATTCCATAAACATAACAGATTATTTTAATATACAAACAAAGTATATAAAAATCACTAATGCTTCAATAGAAAACTGGGCATGAACACACACAATGAATAGAAGGGAAGACAAATGGTGAATAAAAGTTACTAATCGCACTAGTAGTGATCAAAGAACTACTAACTGAAGAAGCTATTGTTCATTTCCTCCCAATCAAATCAGCCAAGATTTTAAAAGAATAAAACCAAATGAAGGTGGGATAAGGGGGTGATGACATGGGCAAGTGCATACTCTGCTCATGGTTATGTAAACTGTGTGCCCTATCAATACCAGATATTACCATTTCTTTTCTCACTTTTAACAAAATATAAGGAAGGAAACTTGTTTTAAATTAGAGAACTTGATAGTCTTTCATGGGCTCACCAGTTGTTTCTTTTTCTGTGAATTGCCAGCTGACACCTTTTGCTTATTCCTTTTTATAAGCTGTAAATATTAACCTGTTCCTTCATTACTATACAGAACACTGTACTGTTTTTATACTTCCTTAAAACAATGGAAACTCTCAAAAGTTGAATCAAGACATAATGTACTAAGGACCTATTGTATGCAAAGTGCTTTAGAAGATACCAAAGACACAGAAGGCATAGTCCCTGTCTCCAAGAAAGCTTCTAAAAAGTTAAACGAAACAAAATACTTCCGTAGCCTCTAAAATAAAGAATAAATTAGAGGTAGGTTAAAGAGTAGTTTAGAGAAGTGCCCATGATCTTTGACTCAAGTGACCAGAAAAATCATCAGAGAAATAGAATTCCTGTCATTAGGGACTTAAAGATTGGACAGAACTTGGGTGGGCAAAGGGTGAGAAGAACCATTCTAGGTAGTATAAACAGTGCAAGCAAAAGTGAAGTGAAAGAGATCCGTAAGGTGTCTTACTACCAGACACCTTCAAGAGACAACTTAAAAATCAGAGTTTGCCACAACTATGATCAATTGCTCTTTTAAGATAATACCAAGTGCATAAAATATGCAGGAAAATGATTAAGATAATTGTTCTCAAATGTCTTATAGATAAATCTGCAAATGCATTTCTCACAGGACAGGGATATACATTTCTAATTTCAGAGGACTGGGATATATTCCTACCTGAGGATAGAAGCAGTTTCCAACATTTCAGCCATGAATGTAGAGACTCCTTTCAATTGACTGTCACCAGCCCCTACCCGGGCCAAGATGCAGTCCACAATTGACACTTCTGCTGACTCGCACGGCACAAAACACCCAATTTGAGCCATGAGTACTATCACCCCCGTCTGGCGAATATATGTTGATTTACCTCCCATATTGGGGCCTACAAAACAAATTGTATCAATAAGGAAGATTTTTAATTTCTTTCTGCTACTAATAAATGGACAGTTAGGCCTAACTGCATATTGATGATGTTTCACCTGGGTCACAGTGTGGCAGCATATAAGCAGAACACATGCTGCGCAGAAATGTGAAAAAAAAATGACTGCCTTTAGAAGTGATTCCATCATTATTTCTTCAGACAAATAGACACTGGGCTTTTTATCAAGAGGAACAATGAAAAATATACTTTACCTTTAATGTGACCATGGCCTAGAAAGACCACACACACATTTTTCCAAGGCTCAGAGCTGTCTGCAGGATATTGTTTAATTCAACACTGTTACTCATTAGTAAGTGGGGATACTAGTGAATCAATCAGTATGGTCAAATCCTTCAAATCACTAAAGCCCTAAGACATGACCCTTTTTTGGGGAAAATGTACACTTTACTGATTGGGGTTAGAGTATATCAATAACTTTGGGAAATAAAATATAATCACTAACTTTCTAAAAATATACTTCTCCAAATACTTCTACTTCCTTTTTTGTTTTCC